TTTACCTAAGGCACAGAGTAAAAAACATTAATTCTTCTATAAATCTATCTCAGCTCTTTTTGAGATTTAGGCATCTCTGTTAATGGTGTTGAAATTATTTTGAGCTATTTAGCAACTTCATAACAAAGTTAGGAGAGGAAGAGGATGTCAAGGGGAAGAAGAATCTTAGACCAACTGCCAAGTTTTCACAAAAGAGCTTTTCCACACATTAATCTTTGATAATAAAACTATCCTAAAATATTGTAAACACAGCTGTTTCCATTTTAAGCTTGACATCTTCTATGTTGGGTAAGCTCAGTGCTCACAAAAGACCCCAATATTAGTCCTCCATATTTTTAAATTATTCATAAGCCTGCTTCCCTGACCAATCAGATTGTCTGATAAGATACATTGTTCTTTGGTCACTTCAGAGTCTCACCAGTTTCCAGATGTTTAAAACAACCTCCACTATTAACTCAAATGCATAATTTGTTTACCAGGACCTAAAAACAGCTCTTCATACACTGAGAAGAGTTTTTGCCTTATAGATTAAAAAAAAACCCAAAAACAAAAACAAACAAACAAAAACAAAACAAAACAAAAAAAACCCCAACAAACCAAAAAACCAAAACCCCAAAAAAACCAACAAACAGTTACAGTCTGTGCAAATGACAAGAAAGCTATTTATGAAGTAAAGAAGTAAATTCAGAATTTATTCCTGAAGACACTTCAGGTAGTCTGTCAGGCTGTGTGGATTTTCTTCCAGCTGTGGCAGAGTGTAATTGTTTACTTAACCTGGATATTGATTGTAGTTAGACTGCTGGCTCACTTCCTTCAGCTGCAATTCTCATTTTGGCAGTTTCACATACATCACTTAAAATTCCTCTCTGCAGCCATGCTCTTCACATTCTTTCCTCTGGGTCATAATCTACTAAACATGACCATACTTTTATTTCTGCATTATGATGATGGGGCTTCTTAAAATTTTTCTGATCTTTGTAGAACAAAAAGTGGAAACTTTTAGCAAGAATGACCTTGAATCACTGTCCTTTACAATTGGGATTATACTATAGAGTATTATGGAAGAGCTCAGATAAAAGGGAGAGATTCTCCAGCAGTGTAGCTGCAATATGGATTTTCTATGTGTTTTAAGAATACCTATATATATATATATATATGTAGGTCACTTTCTATCAATTAGTACTAAATTGTTAATTAGATTGTGTATTGTTCAAAATTTTATGTCAATAGTTCAGATGTAAATTTGAGCACTTAGAAAAAAAATCTCATATATAGAACATAGTCATCCTGTTAGTAATAAACTAGGGCAAAAGGCACACAAATTTGCTATCTAAAAAAATAAGTCTATTAAAACATCATGAATATGGAGTGTTAATTCAACCATGATGTGTCTTCTGCATTGGTTTAAGTACTCACATCTACTACAAATGTACTTAGGTTTACCTACTAAAAAGTTTTGAGGGTCACTGAAAGCATGTGAAAACAATAAAGATTGCTAAATCCATACAAAGTAATTCTGTAAAGGCTAATTAACCTTGAAATGGTGGCAAAACCTGTGCCTAAAGGTCAAAAAATGACCACCAGTTTGCAAAGTGTTTTCAGAGCCCTTACACTGTACCAACTGAAACGCACTATTTAAATGGATTAATTTAAATGGATTATAAACAGACACTTGTAAAGAAATAACATTCATATCAACCATTGTCATTTTTTAAAAATTTAACAAGCAGGACTACACCTGGTCATTGATAAACAGAATAATTGAGGTCCAGTATTAATCTGTTTCTCTTTACCTAGAGTTCCCAACTAGGCATGAGAAAAATTAAAACCAGAGAGAACTCCAACTCCTGTATCAAATTAATTCAATAAGCCTTTATATGTATTTAATGTATTAGTATTTTTGCATACTTTCTGACTAGGAGATACTCTAGTATTTCATGCCATACAGTACAGATTGCTAAATATACAGTTCCTCAAAAAACTAGGACACCAGCATTTATTTGAAAACAGGAAACAATTTTTTTAGCAGGAGAGACAATGCTATATTAGAACAGATAGACTCTATTTCACAAAATTGCAAAGTATTACACCCCCTCACCCCCCAAAAAAATGATGCTTTCATATCTAATGAAGCTTGACAACTGGTTTTAGATATTGTAAAATATATGAGACCAAATAGTGCTTCACCTGGAATCTTTTCACGTCTAAAATTTGGCAGTAACATAACTTAAAAGGATAGCATATCTCCAGATATCGATCCTGGGTTTGTACAGCTGCAATGCCATAAAAATCATCTGCAGCTATAAAAGAGATAACATGATTATGAGTACACTACATTGTAATTTCCTTTGGGCAGTCAGAAAGAAAAAACAGTCTAATAGTCTCTGAAAAAAATAGGCTTGCAGGATATCCACCATCTGACAGATGAATCATTTTACAATATTCCAATTTAAAAATCTTCCAAATTTAAATTAACAACAACAAAAATAACGCAAGAACTTAACATTACCTTTCAACCCCAAAACAAGAGTCAGCTGAAAAACTAAGCAGCTCACAATATGGAGAGTTTTGATGTTCTAACTTCCTTGTGAGTTCAGGCAGGGAACATAAATAGTTAACCTTATTCTAAGCCATTAAATGGAGCTTACTAAAAAGCTTGCTCTAATAAATGGTATGATATGAAGGTCAGCCCTTAATTCACCATCAAAATATCTTCTGGGTGTAAACATAATGACTTCTGCTTATGCACTACACAACCCTGACAAGAATGCTACTTGACAATCCATTTCAGACCTAGAAAAACGTTCTCATTTGCGTCAAGGTGCTGAATGTCAGCAGATTCACTAACACGCTTATTTGCACTGCAGTGCTGGAACAGAGTAAAACACCATGAGCCCTCCATGCCCCGCTGCTGCCTGGCTAGGGAGATGGTGAAATGAAACAAGATTTAATCCTGTCCATATCACTGTGCAGTTGGTGAAACTTGACAAGTCAACATTAAGTATTCAACGTGGTATTGTGGCCTAAAGGGATCATATGCAGCCTGCACATAAGAGCAAAGGAATAGCTTGGTTCTGCTTCGGTGTTTGTAAATTTAATTTGTTAAAGGAAAAGCAACTCTGGAAGGGATTACTAGCTAAGATCAACACTCTTACCAAAGAAAAAGAGAACATGCAAGTAGGAATAATACTGACGTTTTTGTAATACAAAATAGCTTTTTGGGCTTAAGTGAATAAATAAAATTTGGAGGTGATTGCAGTTCAACCCTAGCATATGAGAATATTCCATTTAGTGTTCATGAGTAGGAGGGCCTGGGAAGATTGGGTATTTCATGAAAATTGCATCGGAATTTAGAAAAAACGTATTTTACAGAATGTTAAAATTTATTTAGCAAAAAGTATTGTTTCAGTGCAATACCTACTTCTTTAAATAAGTGGGGCAAAAATATTCATGCTACAACATCTAATATATTGACTTAATTATTACCAAGATCTCATTCCACAGGTTCAGGGAAGGTTATCTGCAGTAAAATGTGTAAGTCCCTGGTGCTCAGGAAACATGGAGCTGGTGAATATACACACATGAAGAAAAACCAGGATCTACAGCAATGCACTTCTGAAATAAAAGTACAAGAGCAACCCACAAATCTCCTTTGCTAAGTGTAGCTCTGTATTTACATTATCTGCAATATCTTTGAATAGAACAATTATTCAACTATTTTGAGTCATCTCTGATCCTACAGCAGGAAATGAGCACAAAGTCCCTGAGTCAGAAAAATGATCTTTTTGCTAAACAATGCAGGGGAGAGATCCTGGGACCCAGCATGGGTGGGAAGGTACCCTGAAGATGTATTGGCTTACTTGGCCCTTTTAATACAAATTAGTGACAACTGGGGTTGGGAGGTGGGGAGGGCAGCTGAAAATGATCACAGAACAGTCTCCTATTTTGTTTTAGTAGAGGTCCTTTTGATGATTAAACTTCCAAATGGCTGTTAAATGCAATGCATATTCTTCCAGAGTGAAGGACAATGAATACCTTTTCCATACAGATTGATACTTCAAATATAAAGCACAGAAATATAAGCATGACAAGCAAGGAATATAAAAATATGTCTTCCTAAGCTTGATTAATGAGCTAATAAAAAGCTATAATAAGAAAAAAATCCAATTAAAGCATCCTGTAATATTTCTCTCAAACAGAAATTAAAAAAAAAACCAAGAGCACAGTAAAACTTCGGAAAATTAGTATGATTCAGGCAACATCCTTAATATTCAAGTCTACAGTACATAAATTTTATACTTTCTTTGACTGACTGCCCTTTATTTATCATCTCTGATGTTCATTGTCTGAAATTGTGGTCCTTCATGAGTTTTATTTTGTTATTGCCTCACAAGTATATCATCTGAATTTAAATAGACATATTAAAAACTTGGGCATTATACAGGTTGTAAGTACTTATTCTATTTGGAAAACCTGCAGGCCTCTAGCAGAACATGTGGAAATAAGGGCAAAGCCACTGGAAACTATATGCTATCAGCTATAGATAAAGTCAGCAAATAAACTAGCTATACTTTTTGCTGATGGACAAAAGACAGAGTAGAAAATATATATTGTAATAGTCCCTTTTCAACAGTCTTTGGTAGCTGAAGGTAATCAGAGGGGACAGGAGCAGCAACGACACTGGAAAGGAGCTGTAAAAGACACAGAGGTAGGCAGAGCTGGAGATTTGACCCCGGTGAGAAGCACCTGCACCACAAGGAGCCCCGCACGCCCTTGCAGCCCCTGGAGGCGAGCGGCACAGCCCAGGGCCCGGGGCTGCCTGTGAGGAAGGCAGCACACCAAAGGAGCCCCGGGCTCCTCAGGGGCTCAGAGCTGAGGAACAGCAAAGAGCAGTAGGATAGGGACAGTCTGCACAGGGCCGGCAAGAACAGAAGCCTGGGCATCTCGTACCAGGGTCAGCTGTTATTTTAATACTACAGAAACTGTTTATTTGCACTTACTGAAAGGTCCTCGGGCATCAGCGAGTGTCCGGGCTCCAGGACAGGCGCATCCCACCTCCCTCTGCCGGCGGCTCCGTGCGAGACCCCTGCAGCAAACGCTGCTGGCGCCGGAGGCGTGGAGCGGGCCACTGCCCCCGGCTCCTCGTCAACTTTAGAGTATTTTTTAAACAAAAATTAAAATGTCTCGGTAAACACTCTCTAATTAGGCAGACGTAGTCTTTGTCTCTTTGCACAGTTCAGTGAACGTTTGGTGTTTTTTATTTTAATCCCTTTATTTCAAGTTGTGGTTCAAGACTTCGCCGAAAACCGTGAAATATCAAATGTATTTCCTCATCAGCTGCCTGCAGTGTTTCACGAAGGAATACTTTTCAAAACGCTTTCGTTTGATTACAGGGCTTGCCTTTTCTAATTTGACAGCAAGGGAATCGAGATACACAAAGACAATGTTGTATCTGCCTGTTTAAGAGCCCGCCCACAACTCCTGAAATTTACATTAACAACAAAGTTGACTTCAGCTGTTTCAGGCGGCGCCTGGAGAGAGGTGCCCGGTTCCACACCGAGCAGACGCTGAGGAGCCCGGCCCGCAGTCGGTGTCAGGGCCGGGCAGCGCTGACGGCCAGCCCAGGGCAGCTCTGGAGGGCAGGGCAGCGCTGCCTTCCCCTGCCCGCTCGGCCCTGGCTCCTGCAACCAACAGCGCCGGCCATTGCTTCCAGCTCGGTACTGGCAACTTCCAAATCCCACAGTTTCGATGGTTGTACTTTAAAAAAAGGACAGCTCTGCTGCTTTTAAATGTTTGGTGTCTCTCTCCCCGCTGCTTTTCTGATGTAACGTGCCGTCACTTTGTTCTCACAAGCACATTTCTGACACCAAAGAGTCCCTGGCCTCAGCATCAGCCACGCCCTGACCTCACGGCGAAGGGGTCCAGCTACGAGCGACATAGCGGCTGCTCAAGAGAAGCTGCACGAGAGGCAAGAGACAAAGCAGCAACGCGTGGGTTTTGCCTGCTGCCCCGGTGGCGGCACCTGAGTGCCTGCCAGAAGGGAAAAAAGACCAACCCGGAGAGCGCAGGAAAGCAAGCCTGGGTACGCCCTGCCGGGCCCGGGGGCTGCTGAGGGCAGAGCGGGCGGGTGCCCGGGAGCGCACGGAGCTCTCCAGACCGACACCCTGCGGCCAGCGGCTGCCCCGCGGGCGGCTCGCCCAGTCCCCCGGCAGCCCCGGGGGCGGCCCGGGCGGCGTCCCCCACGCCGCCACGAACACGCCTGTGGGCGTTGAGCCGCCCCGTCCCGCCTCCGCAGAGGCCGCAGCCGCAGTCCCCGCTGTGCGGGCCTGCCGGCTGGCTCAACACCTCCCGGCCCCGACCGCTCCCAGCCCTGCCCGGCAGCGCGGCCCTCCTGCCGCCGCTTCCACTCCTGCGCACTGGGCGCGTCCCGGGCCGGCCGCGGCCAGAGCCAGGCGGGGCAGCCGCCAACTGCGGTCCCGCGGGGAGCGGCTGCGGCGGGGCCGCCGCCCGCGCTGGCGGGGCGGGATGGAGACCGAGAGCCGGGGACCGGGACTGGCGCTCCCCGCCGGCGGGGAAGGGCCCGGGGCCGACTCGCGCCTCGCCGCGGGTGCCCTCGGCACGGCCCAGGGGCCGCTGCTCGCCGCCGCCGAGGTGCTGGCCCTGGACGATGAGGAAGACGACCTGGAGGTGTTCAGCAAGGTACGGCGGCGCCCTCCGCGCCGGGGGCGGCCGGGCGGGCTCGCCGGTACTTTGCCCCAGCGGGCGCCGGGGAAACCGGGGTGGTGCGACGGGACGGGACGGGACGGGACGGGACGGGACGGGACGGGACGGGACGGGGCGGGACGGGGCGGCTCCGCCCCGGGCGGCGGTCGCGGGCTCTGCCCGCCCGCCCCGCGCACGGCGCTCCCCGGGGCCCCGCGGCGGGCCGGGCTGCCCGGGGCGCGGGGCTGGCAGGGCAGCGCCCGGCGGCGCCCGCGGTCCCGGGTGACTTCTCGGGCACGAAACGCGGAGTCGCTGCTTCGGACCAGCAGTGCGAGTCATGACTGCGCTTACCTGAAATGTGCCATCTAATCTGGACTCGCTGTACCCTTATCATCTCTTAGGTTCGTCAGATGCCATATATGTATCTGTAAATTATTAAATAAACAACCGTGTTTAGTAATTGCAGTTGTGTTTGAGTGTAAGTTAATGTTTCCAAGTTTCAGTTTGAGTTTTCTTTTAAAAGATGAAGTCTCACACCTTCGCCTGGGAGATTTGAGAAGATAATATCTGAATTTTGATGACGAGAATAAAATGAACATAACTGACAATGTATCAGTGTCAACCTTCAGAGGGCACACAGCCAGGTATATGCGTGCCCGTCTGGCTGATTGTGCTGATTTTAATTAAACCAATGAAGGAGGGTATGGCTTCCACGTATATTGTTTCTCATTTAGCACTGATTTAGTACAGGTTAAGACAAGACTTACCTCTTGTCTCCTCAGTAGTTAAAGAAGAGGGCATGTCATTAATCTATTTGCCTTACCGAGGCAGCATCTAGGATGTAAATGCATACAGAGAGCTAGGGTGGAAAAATGTGTATGGGGCTAGGGTGTTCATCATCTGAGACTTGTGAACTGCTGTGACAGGATGTGTGCCATGGCAGAGAAATAGCAGTTACATTTCCCATTTGAAGAAGTGACAATGTATTTCTCTTCAGTGGGACAGATTGTCATAGGGAGTAAATGTGTGGGTTTTATGTTTCTGTAGGTGAGAAACACTGTTGTGGTATGAATGAATACTACTAGGAATAAGGACTTCCTTCTTAGGAGCTATGTATTTAAACTCTGTAATAGAATTTATGTATGTATTGCTATGTATTTAAACTGTAATAGAAGTCCTGAAACTCATGGCTTTTAAGGCCAGAAGGGACTCTTACATGATTTAAAAGTCTGTAACTTGCAAGAGATTAGGCTAAATTTCACCAAGTTACCTGTATTTTTCTGAAGCATAACTAGGGTTGAGCTGAATTATATTTTCCTAGAAAGCACCAGTGAATGATTCACTGAACTTGCATGCTAAAATATAGTTTTAGTTGTTTAAGCTCACTTTTCATCCATTTCCTCTTGTGGGTGAAGTTCAGGCAGTTCTGCATGAAGGTATCTGCTTATCAACACAGTGTATTGATGCTTATGCTGCTTCCATATCAAGAGCAATTCTCCTTGGGAATGAAAAATAAAAACAAGTGGAGTTGATACAAGTTACTGCTGCTTTATCGCAAATAGTGAGATCTTTAAATTTCTACCTGGATTAGTGCCAAATATTTTTTACATATATGAAATCTTAACTACTGTTAATGCATGCTACATGATAAGTTATTCCTGCAAACAAGAAAATTTGTCATCTGAAAATACAGCTTTCCTTCCAAAGCTTGGATACCTGCATGTAGTGGTTGTATATATAAACCAGAAATTCATGGTTTGTTTTCAAGTGCAATTTGAGATCTGATCTTTTGAGCTGATGAAAATCTGTGACATTGGTTGGGCTTTACACCCGGTTTATTAATTTTCTGTATATTCAGAGGAATCTGACAGACTAAATGTAGCTTACAACTAAGTTTTGTAAAACCATTTTTTCCTTAACATAGTGTTCCAAGACTGCCTTGTTTCAAATTGCATCTTAATGGGGTTCCTCATGCAGTGTCTGTAAGGCAGTGGTGTTGCCTTTGCAGGCCAAGCAGGATGGCAGCAGCCATGCAGAGCTCGCTGCCTGCCACTCTCATCAGCTTCAGCTTTCTCACTCTAGGCAGTGGAATGTGCCAGCTAACAAAATGGTGAAAAATGAGATTCTTAAGAATTGTCAACCTCAATACCCTGAGTTATTACTCAGAATGTAAACACTGGGCTTTTATTTTATGAAAATCCATAGACATTTAACCATTGACCTGGTATCCTCTGACATATCTCAAATATTAGAGACCAGCATCTTCAGCAGCTCTGATAGAGCATTTCATGATGTGAGATGCGTTTCACTTTATCCTAGTTTCCACTGCCACTGAAAAAGTTTGTAATTCTTTTCAGCAGAGACAAATTCTGGGAGCTGAGTTATGAGTCAGACAGATGGAATGTTTTCAACCTTTCTTCCCTTAGCTTCAAAGTATAGAGTACTGCCTGTATCACAAATACCCATTCAGTTATCTTTTGCATTCCTTGATAACTGATATGTAGCACTGACAAAGCTGTCAGCAGTTTGGTTAATACTTAAATTCTTTAGCCTCTCTGCTTTCAAACTCTGTTTCACAGTGGTTGTCTGTATTTCATAATTACTGAAAACTTAATGATATTTCTGAAAAATATGTATATGCCACTTCAGAATTCCATAGAAATTAATTTTTCTTCAAGATTTTTCTTCAAGTTCATGAAGGATTTGAGGCAGAATAGTTCCTTGGCCAAAAAATGCACTTATAAATCAGTCTTCCTGAATCTCTTTGCTCTTTGAAGAATGCTCCAACAACCAAGCTATTCACTTGTAAGACAAAGTCTGCCCCATGTCCTTTATCTCAAAACCTGTTTTGGATCTTAGCTTGAGATTATTGCAAGCTCTGGATCATTTCTGAGATGGATGGATGGATGGATGGATGGATGGATGGATGGATGGATGGATGGATGGATGGATGGATGGATGGAGCACAGAGGTAACCTTGGGTCAAGGACCTATTCTCTAGGAGGGAGCATTGTTTAGACAAACCCCAGGCTTAGTGTCTTCTCCAAAGAGCTGCAGTCTCAGCTCTGTGCATAGCCTGTTTTGAGGCTGCTCTGGCTGCAGGAGTGTTTTCTTCCCTTACATATTTTGGAGTGCTACTGACCAGTTGCAGTCAAATGTGAGACTGAGATAAGGTAGCTGCAAGTATTAGAGAAAGGAGACACAGAAAAGAGCCCTCATGCTGCGAGGAGCTCATGGATTTTCCGTTCCTTTGGTCTCTTGGCTAGTAAATAAAAGTCATGAACCTGTTTGTGAACTGGCACATGCAGCTCTGCCAGCTGCTCTGTCATGAGGGAAGGGGCTTGGAAAGAGAAGGGGTACTGCAGATAAGTGGGGGCAGGGGAGGTGTGGAAAGGACATAATTTTCTGGGACAGGGCCTTGATGTTCTTTGCATGGATGAGGAGGAAGAAGGCTACGCAACCTGAGAGCTGTCTGTTTTTCCTGTGCTACAAAACTCCTGCCCTCATCTCTATGCACACAAATACAGTTCCAACCACAAAATTACAGCTGTATAGAAAATTATCATGGTTTTTTTAAACTGTGCTTCTGTGATGACATCAGGCTTAGGTCACATGAACTTCAATAATTACTGGAAGTAAACCTGAACTATCATGAGGATAAAGAGATAGAAGCTTCTTTAAAAATCACGTGTATTCATTTGTGTGCATGTGAATACTAGAGCTGTATTAAAAAAACCCTAAGACTTGCTTATTCTGTGGATTTTTATTGCCCATATTTTGTTTCTCAAAGCACATATTCATAAGCCTTTCCACATAAACATATACTTTCAGACACTCACATGAATAGAGCAATTTTTAGTAGCAACCTAGAAGGAAGGAAGCATTATGACATTAATGCTCCGTGTAAAATGAGAAAATATGAAACACATTTACCTTGATCCAATTTAGGTTTTGCAGAGTCATTACTCCTCAAATTATAGGCCGTTCATGCTCACATGCATTTCTCTTTCCCTAGAAACTTCCCATTGCCTCAGCACTTTGAATTGCATGGGCTGCTCTGAGCTAGCAGTCCTCATTCTTCATCTAGACCATGGGCAGCCAGTGCTAGCAGGCTCTGGGAACAGCTCTGTTTATTCTGCACGACTCAGAATAGTGTTGGCTGTATAGAAGTTGTGCAGAAACACACTGAGAAAAAGTAAAATGTCTGACAGTCATACAAGGAAGCCACTGTGTAATATTTAAAGTGTTGTCTTCAGTCTTCTGTGTTGCTTTTGTCTCCCTGTTCAAAGAACTGCATGTAAGTGATGGGTTGAGAACGAGTACATAAGCACTTTCTGGGCATAATTCCTAGTATAAATGTCTCTTCCATATTTGTGGGAGTACATTGATAAATCCGAAGAAAAAGAACAAGGTGTTTCTTTCCAGAGAAAGTTTTGATCTGGTTGAACTCAAAAGACAAAAAGCAACTCTGACACAGTTCAGCAGCACTAAAGTGGGGTTCCCTTCATTCCTGTGGGATCAGCCTTGGAATGATGCCGTGACCCTGGTTAGTGTGGACTCGCACTATTCCAGTCCTGGCATTTGAGCAGTTTTCTCTTAAACTACATCCCTGTTCTCCTTCCTCCGTAGTTAACAAGGCACTGGAGAGGGTAACTCTTTGCCACTCGTAGTCAGTGGAATGCTTCTAGAAAACATCTAGAAAATAGATTAATTTAAAGTTTGTTATGAAAATAATTCTTTGTATTGCATATATTAAAAAAGCTGTATGCAGTATTTGATACTTAAAATTCAATTATTTATTTCAATTTCTTTATCTCTCATTATTTATTAATTTGTTAAGCTCTTTTATGACGTTAGTGAATTCAATTGATTTTCATAGTAACTGTATCCTTCAAGATTCTAGATTAGTAGATCTCACCCAGACTTGTATCTAAGGAAGAAGATGAGATTTCTGGCCCATTTCTAATTTCCACCTTATTTCTCAGCAGTTGAGTGAGCACCATTGAATGTACTAGCAGAAGCAGCTGTTATGGGGACATATTATTGAGTTCTGTGGAAGTGGTCAGTGGTATCAAAAACAGGTTTTTCACTTCAGCAGAACAGTGGTTTGACTTTTTTTTAGGAATTAAGCAGCAAATTTGTACTGCATCCTTACTTGCTGTTTTCCTTAAAAAAAAAAAAAAATTATGTACCTTTAATTTTTTTCCATTTCAAATTTTATTGTAAAATAAATGCAAACTGAAATAGCCAATTCCAGTAAAAATTCTGATTTGGATTTACCTTAGTTTTTTGAATCATCATTTTTTTATCCATCCTGTTCAGGTAATTAGAGATATTTCAAACATCATAAGTCCTCAGTAACTGACTTCTAACAATTTTAATAAAATAAAGTACCCTACACAATTAATGGGTGCTTCATTCATAACTAATTTTACTATTCATAGGCAAGTTCTCTTTCTAGCTATGCATAACATTCTTCTCAAATGGTAGTATTTTGTTCTTTAATCTATTTTAGAATAAATCTCATTTCTTACATCCTCACCAACGCAAATACTGAAAAGGATAATAGACTTGCTAGGTACTATATAATTCTTTCATCTGCTACAAGTTTTATCTGTTCTATCAGATTATTTTAAAGGTTTCCATTTTAGCATCAGAGACGTGTTTGTATGCAAAGATTATTGATATGGATGTCCTCATATCTTATCTGTAGGATACATCTCTGACTGAGGTAAACTCATTCAGTCCTTCAGTGCCAATATCCCCCTCATCAATGATAAACCAGTATAAATTTGAAGATGGGCCAGAATTAAGAGATCTCTTCATTACAGTCGATGATCCTGAAAGCCACATTACAGCCATTGAAACATTTATCACATACAGAGTAGTCACAAAGGTAAGTATCCATTCATGCTTTAATGGCTTACTTTTTTAACAATTGGAATTTTCCCTCTTCTTGTACATAATTCTCTGGCATATTGCTAAATTTAAACTTTAATTTTGCCATGAGTTATAAACTACTAAAACTGCATGAAACTGCGCTATATAATGGAAAAAGAATCAGTGTGAGGCTGCATACACATGTGCTTTGTTTCTTTATGTTGAGAAAGTAGTTAATAATTCTTCAATGGCAAAATGAGTGCTGTGAGACAATAACATTTTCTGTTGTGATCTTCAGCAGGAACAGGAAACAGCCAAAGAACTGATCCACTTTGAAGGCACTGTATTAGCACAAGTATTGACGACTTTTGCATAACTTACAGGCTACCAGTCTTGTGTCTTGCATAAACATTATCTCAGTTCCATTATTTTCTAATTGCAGCATCCACTAACACATGGATGTTTGCTTCCCATGTATAGTTGCATGTGATTTCTGGGGAAACTGTCACAATTCTCTAATGAAAAAATAGTATTAGGAAACAACTAAGTGTATTTTTAGTTGTCCTGAATGCAAGTTATTTACAGGAAATAAGGAAGAAAGTCAGCCATGTGAGACCAGCCAGGTCTTCTGAGATTACCAGTAAATATTCTGCAGGCTCCATTTTGAGAATTGCACTGTTAATTTATTTGACTTTGAGTTCTTTTTAAAAGATTCATTTAAAAGCATATTTTCAAATGGGAATTATCTTTAAATAAGAAGAGATATCAATTCCTCATAAAATATTTAATGAGTACGAAGAGAGCTATCTTTGTTATGTTGCTAGCAATAATTTTAACTTTATGCCTGTTTCTGTAGACGAAAGAACATTTTTTCTTCAGGCAAGTATGAAAGGGCTGTAAGTTGGATTGGTCTTGCTTTTTTTATCTCTTCTATCCTTTCTTATCAAACTTAATTTAGAGTGCTGGTTGTTGATGATAAAGTAATAGCATTCCTCCCACATACCTTGAAAAATTTTTGTTCAACCCTCAAAAATGTTTGGATTACAAAAGCATGTTTTGAGGTTTTTAGAATTTACTTGCATTGTGTTATAAATCTCTGTGGAACAAAGAATGCTAAATAGCACACATTACTGAAAACATGGGCTCTTTGTGGCTTGCCTCCAGAAGACAGAGCAGTGGTAAAATAATCTCAGGGTCTGACAATTTTGTAATCTTTTGTTGGCAAGTTATAACAGGGGGCCGCAAAACTGGAATCAGTGATAGGCTGCAGAATCCATTAAGCAGTGCAGGAAGTGTTATTGCTGTGATATGCTGAAGTTTTCATGTTTTGAATGTGAGGATTATTGAGTAATGTCACCAGATCTCAGGGACGTGTGTCAGCTCTTTGGGCTTTGTTTAAAGTGCTAAAAATGGACTTTCTTCACTACTAATCACTTCAAGAGAAGCGTCCTTAAAGTAACAGACATAACTGTGATTGCTGAAAGAAAAATGCCACACCAAAGTAATTATTGCAATAATTTGGAAACATTGTGCTAAGATAATCATTATATATCACTGCGCAAAGTGCAGCTTAGTGCTCACTTTTTTTTTTCCCCAATAGAACTTTGACTTCTTGCTGAAAGAGGATGTGTTAACTCTTCAAGGAGTTGATAATTGTTCTTTAAAATAGCAGCAAACCGGTAACAGAGACCACATAGAATATATGCATTCCCTCAAGTACTCAGTTTTCTCCAAAATCTAAAACATTTTTTTCTGGTATGCTAACCTAAGACTGTTTTTTGTGCTTTTGGTTTTCAGACAACCCGAGGTGAATTTGACTCCAGTGAATATGAAGTTCGAAGACGATACCAAGATTTCATTTGGTTGAAGAGCAAACTTGAAGAAGCACATCCAACGCTGATTATTCCTGTTTGTTTGTTAACACTTAAGTTCTTTTTCTTTGTTTATAAGATGGCTCCAGTTTAATACAGAGATGTTTGAGGTCTTTCTTCAGCTTCTGAAGTTTCATAAATCCTAAGCCAACCTTTTTTTCTTATCTTTATATGTATGTGACAAAAATCACGTAAAGGTATTCCTTAGGTTTTTAATTGTGGCATTAGCAGTAATTTGCAGTAATTTATGTCCATTCTTAGTTGTGCTTGTGTTCTTCTGCACTGCATATTACAAGAAAAATTGTATACCTTAGTTGAATACAATAACTTTATATAGCTTTTGGGTTATTGCATGGTGGATTTTACAAGGTATACCTATGTTTTTTAGTAAGCAGAAGAACTATTATAATACTCTGAATTTTATGCAAATTAAACAATATATTTCTTCTTTTTTTCCTTAGCCGTTGCCTGAAAAATTCATAATAAGAGGAATGGTGGAAAGATTTAGTGATGAATTCATTGAGACTCGAAGAAAAGCTTTACATAAATTTTTGAACCGTATTGCTGACCATCCAACTTTAACTTTTAATGAGGACTTCAAAATTTTTCTTACTGCACAAGCCTGGGTAAAATGACTGTGTTTTTATTTACAGTTACGTGAAACCACATGTTGTGTAAGTAGGGTGTATCAGGAGCCTCCCTGGTTCAGTATTCAGTAGTGTGATCCCATGGCTTGCTAAAGAAGTGGCAGAAGTAGGCAGGGATTTGTGGAATATTCATAACCTGAGATTACCTTTCCTTCTGTGGCTTTGGTAACCATGCACATGACCATAAGTATTGCTGTACCTTCCAAAGTTGTTTTTGTTACTGCATTTTGGATTTTTGTGGCAAATTCATAGTATTGCAACTCTGCATGTTTTTTGATAAATGTATACATTTCTAAGATCATGAGTAAAACAGTGGTATTAATTAATTACTGTTTTGGCATGGCAGTGTCTTTTTTTTTCTTTAAGTTTTACTAATCTCATAAAAGAAAAATCCAATATTTTCCTGTTGCATTGTTGCAAAATGTGTCCAGTTGCAAATTGGAGTTCTGTACTCAGAAAAGCCTGCCTCTGAATTTCAGCAAAGATTATTCTAGCAACATATAAAAAGAGTTTTAAAAAAATAGATGGATTACTTTCTCCAGTAGGAGCACTGTCTGCTTTTCTCAAAGACTTATTCCTGCAATCATCACCTCTGCTTTCCTGTTCAAAAAGCTAAATTGCAAACTAGCTAACTCACCCTGAGAGCAAAGGGGTGAAGGTTCTCTGCCATCTTCAACCATTCTTGTGACACTGCCATACATGCCATGCCTGTGTTTGCTCAGAAAGGCTTAGCTAATACATGCACAGGACAGGGATGGTTCTGACATGGTCTAATAATGATAAGATTTCTACACTACAAAGACAGAGGTTTATGTATGTAATTTTGTTTAAAAAAAAAGCTTGCTTTTATTTATTGTTTTCAGAGAATTAACAAAAGTACCTGGAAGTAAAGAGAGCTTGTTCTGTCTTTAGGAACTCTCCTCCCACAAGAAGCAGGGTCCTGGTTTGCTGAGCAGGATGGGACAGACCGTCAGAGCTGTAGCATCCTCAGTAAGAGGAGCAGTTAAAAATCGTCCTGAAATGTTTACAGAAATGAACAATTACCTGGAAACATTTAGTCAGAAAATAAACTTACTAGATAAAATAGCTCATAGAATTTACAAGGAAGAAAGGGGTAAGTAGAAAACTTTTATAAAAGTTTTATTGATTTAAGAAATTAAAAAGTAAATTAGTTTTCATTGTGGCAGGCAAAATACTCTTTCCAGGAAAAAGGGAGATGTTTATATTGTGTTATTCTTTCTGATCATGTTTTTGACAGACCTTCAAGTTTGAATTTTTTTTCTTAGGAAGAGTTTTAGCATGTCATTCAGCTACTTATAAGGAACATAGAAGAATGTTTTAATATGTGGTTTTTGGAAGGCTGCCTGACCTTTGGTTTTTAACTTTCAAGGGAATGTACAGTTTTCTGTGCAATCTCATTGTGACATGAGACTGTCTTGATTCCAGGTCTCTAAACTTTGTTTAGTTTTGCTCTGCACCTTTTTTTAATTGACAAAGTAGATTTTAATTTTTTAATAGCTTTAGTGTTTGACATAATTTTTGTCATGGTAAGCTGTGCCTACTAGAGTTTTCTCAAGAAGAATGGATTAATCGGAATTTTTTTCTTAAGTAAGAGCAGTTCATACACCTAGTTGGAATGCTAAGTTACTGACTTTCCTGAGATTCTGAGATGATCCTGATCTCAGACTGTGCCTGTTCAGTAGAATTTCCACTGGGCAGCACTTGAAGTATTTACTTGTCTATATTATAGAATATAATTTGAAGAGCTGCACTATGTTAATAATTGAGTCCTTGACCTTTCTTGTGCAGTACCAGATCTCAGTGTGTCCTCACTTAATTGAAAGGGTGTTATAAAAGAAAAGTTTTTTGATGAAAAGAGTTCCTATTGATATTGTTCCCTCCAGTGAAAGTAGTTGTCTAAGGTCTGTAAGTTGAAGGTAGCAGTGCCAAAATATTTATTGGAAAAGCTTAAGAATTTTGACATGCTCCCAAATGTTGTAGGTTATATTTTCTTTCTAGATTGTCCGAACAACACTTGTCAGAACACTTGTGTGCAGGGCCACACTGCTGTGAATAGGAATTGTTGATAGCTTTGATACAGAGAACATTCCTGCTTGCAGTACCTTAACATGTTCTTGATTATGTCTTCCATAGAGGGCTTTTCTTTGTCCAAATAATCTCAAAGTAAAATTACACTCTTTATGCCACACAACTGCTTTCATCTTTCTTAGGACATTTCTTCATTATAAATTTAGTAATGACAAAATTCCATTTTCAATGCATGACCAATGTGTTCACAGTCTCCTCCTCTGAACTGCAGCTTGCCCATGTTTAGCCCTACCAAATGGCACAGTGATTTGTGGGCCTTCTCTGTTTATGGATTATCACTTGGTCCAGAAACATAAGAGAAGTAATTAATAAGGTATCTCTGTATTTAAATTAATAAAAACTACCAAAGGAGATACCTGCTGAGCAGGAGTGAACTTAAGTGTTTTTTCTGAAGCTTTTGGGACATAACTAGTTTTAATAACTGAGACTGTATTTGGAACATTACTATTTGGTAAAGAAGCAGAGGAAGAGGAATACAAAAGCAGAGGAATTCAGGGCAGTAGAAGTCAGCAAGTCAGACCAGCTGCTGTGGTTCCTGTATGAAGACAGTGTGAGGTAATGCAAGTCATTCACAGCTCTTCAGGTCTTCCTGAGTATGTGTGTCGTTGTGAAATGTCTGGGGCACTTTTGCTGATAGATTTCTCAAAGCTACTTAATTACAATAAATTAATTGATTAGTTTAATGATAAACAGTGAACTGGAGTTTACTTATCTTGGTCGTTTGAGCAAATTTAAAATTAGCATCAGTCTCGCTTGGTTCACAGTAAATACAAAGTTGCAATTCGTATCACTTAGAGCTCTATTAATGAAGAGTAATGCGTGTATATGTTCCTTTTAAGACTATTTCAGTGAAATGAAGGAGTACGGCCCCATCCACACGCTGTGGTCGGCGTCGGAAGAAGACATCGCGGACGCTCTGAAGGGCCTTGCCGGCTGCATCGAGCGCTGCTGCAGGGCCACGGAGAGGCGAATGGCAGGGCTCTCAGAGCACCTGCTGCCCGTTTTGCATGAGTACGTTCTCTACAGTGAAATTCTCATGGTAAGCTTTCCTGGAGGACCCTTTATGACTCAGTATAAAATTTGGCTTAGTCCAGTGACCATGTCCAGGAGAGAATTTGTTGCTGTTGAAAGTGACTTCACAGTCCCGGTATTTACTCAGTATATGCACAGCATACGTGTCCATTAGTGAGGAATCCAATTGGTCCTGTTTCTCTTGCCTATCAGGCAAGAGGTGCCCCGTCCAAATAAGAGGAGATTGATAGTTTTGCCTAGCAGACAGCCATGGCTAGCTGTGCTAGGGTGTCTAGTTTTGCCATCTTCAGTGAGCTCTGCATTGTAGCAATCAGGGTTTGGGAACAGCAGTTGAGAAAGACCTTCCCTGACACTGCCAAAATATGAACTCATTGAGTGACAGATTGTGTGTGGGAAAAGGAGTGGAGAGGTTTTTCCCTTTCTAGGAGTTCTTCCTAAGTATGTTTTCTTTTTCCAGAACAGCTGGGAACTTCCAGTCCCCGCAACATTATATAAGCATGTGTTAGTCTTTGCCATAAGCTACTGCTCTCAGTTCCCTTTATGTATGTATTTTGCTTACAGTTGGAGAGGAAGTAAAAAATCAGACTCAAGTTGATACAGTCGGTGCTGGTGGATAATCAACATAATAAAGTAACTGAATTCAGTATGTCATAATTCCCACTTTGCTGCCTACAGAAAGCAGAACATGTGTACAAACCCCTCTTTGTCTAGATTTTGAGCAGGGCCAGCTGCAGAATCTGTTCTTGTGTTACTGCTGGGAGCCCAGCTTCTGCTGCAGTGGTTTCTGGGTAGGGGCTGCAGGAGTCTTACAGCCCACAGGTAGAGCAAGACCCAAGTGAACTGAGACTTTGGTGGCACTCTGCAGGGTATTGCCACTTTCTCAAGGCTTAGCTACTGAGAGTTAGGAATTGCTGCTGCAATGACTGCTGTCTTTAAAACAAGCTTCACAGAAAAAGGGGCCATACAAAATGTACCGTATCTTACAGTCCCCATTATTTTCTGGTAGATGGAGGCAGGTGCTGCTTTGCTTAAAGATCTGAAGAGATTACTGTCCTAACAATTGCAGGTCATCTTCTTTTCCACTTCCAACCTTATGTTTCAGAATTTCTATGTTACCCATAAGCAATTGTAGTCTTCATGCTACTGAGGAGATGCTGCCCACCCATTGCCTTCTATTTTGCAGCCTGACTCATGCTCACCCTTTCTCAGGTGTTCTGTTTCATGCAGAGCATAGAAAGATTGCTGAGGATAACCCCAGGATGATTACCTGGCTCTTCCTGCACACCTTACTGTTGCCCACTGCATTTTTTTTCCGCTTATAGCTTTCTTGATTCAGCATTTGCAACACAGTATTAGGCAGACATGAGGTCCTGTCCAGGGGAGAAGTCTTCCTTCAGTAGCTCATTCCTGTTCCACAACTGTTCCTTTCCCTTCATTCACCATCTGCTTATTTCCCTCCTTGCACTTTGAAGAGGGAAATACTAGTCACTAAAATAAAATACCTAAAAATACCTGTGGAAGTCAACCACTAGTAAGCCTTTCAGAGGTGTGTTTAACCCCTCATCACAGGGACCTTGGTCCAGTGCTGCCAAGATCACAAGCAAGTGTGCAGAGCAAGATGTGATCAATACAGTACAATCCTTGTATTTTCCAGTGTTGAAAGTTCAGCCTGTAACTAGGAAAAGAGTTAGATGCATAACTAAAATATTTACATCTGGACCAGCCCCTTTCTAACAGACACACAGAACAAATCTGCTTTCCCTCAGGGTACAGATTACAGCATTAATTAGTTATGGGTCCACATAAAATTATCCGTGGATTTTGTGCTTCCAGATAAACATTTTCTGTATTTACCTGACCAAAAGATTCCAAGGTATTGATGAGCATTCATCTATATTGCTGATCTATTGCTCAGAAAAGCCCAAAGTCAGATTTACCAGGTTTTTATAGTGATTACCTGTTTAAAAAGAAACATTGAAAAATTACTTGAAATTAAGCTCTTGAATTATTCTATCGTGTTTGAAAAAGTGTCAAGATTTCATAGAGAACTCAGTCAAATAAGAGAGCTAGAGAAGGTAGAGCTGCTCGTGCCCTGTGCTGTTTCAACATGCCCTATGCTAGAGGTGAATACTGAACATCTCTGCAGAAGAAGCAGTAAAACCAGTTATGGAAAGGTAATGTAAAAAAGGTTTTGAGATTTGTAATTATATATGTCCTGGTTCTGATTTTTTTCAAAAGGACTAAACACTTCTGCAACATAAGCATACCTGAGTGTGCTTTTACAGATGAGGAAGCAAAGACAGAGACATTTGTAAGGCTTCATCAAGGTCTCAGAGCAAATGAGCATTAGAAATGGAAATTTAATCTGTAATACTGTTCCTATTTAGTAGCTTAACGAGTGATATTGCTTCCCCTTTCTAATTTTTTTTTTTTACATTATGCTAAAAACCCAATACCTAATAAGATAGTTTCAAAGGAGGTAAAAATTGCATATGCTGAAAATAAACCATATTAATGGTAGAAAAGCTTTCATTCCTATGGTAACTTTATCTGATTTTTTGTTATTTTTTCTGATTTACCAGAACTATATTTGGCACTTACAAAATAATATTAAAGGTTAAAGTCACAATTTCAATAATGCCTTGTATACTATTTCTAATTATTCTACTTTATACTGTAAATTTTACTCAAAGAAGATATTTCTGTTCAGGAGATTTGGCAAACTCAGGTTGCTGTTTTTAAATGAATATATTATAAATTAAGCTGATACCAAGTAAACTCCTGTAGCAGTTCTGCTCTACAACTGGCAGTGATATTGTGTATGGCAGAATCTTGTAGCACTGATTTTTGATTTAGTAAGTTTATTGAAAAACCTGTAAGATAAAATACAGGTATGCAAAAATAAGCCTTCATTTTAATTTTTTATATAAAACATATATCATGTAAAAATTATTAAAAGGTATCATTCTGTGGTCTTGTTTATCAAGAAGCAAATTTCTTTGATGATTTTCTGAAAGAGTTAAAATTTGGTGCAGTTTATGTCTTTTTATTTTTTTTCTTTCCACACTAAGGGTGTTTTGAAAAGGAGAGACCAAATTCAAGGCGAGCTGGATTCCAAAGTTGATGCTTTAGCCAGTAAAAAGCCAGAGAAGGATGTGGTGAGTATTTTCAGCAAGCTGGACTCCTGCAGGCCGTGCTGTACCTGCAGGGGAGGCGCGGGAGGAGGACGCGCGTCCCCTGAGCTGCTGTCCCCACTCTGGCAGCTCTTTGTGCCAGGCAAAGGCCATCACCAGAAAGAAGCAGCACTTCAGTAGCTGGGCCACTGGCCTTTGTCAACACAAACTGTACCATGGCTTATTTTTAGCTTTTCTGTTTGCTTCTACACTTGGAGTTAAGGAAAGTAACAGTTGCTGCAGAGCTCTTGTAGCTGCTGCTTCATTGATGTAGGAGAGGTAGAGGAGGTGATTAGAATCAGCAAAGCTGTTCATTAAACTTATTTAAAGTAAAATGTTCTGCATTCTGTTTTTACAGGTTTCTGTTTTTTCTAGTTGGGTCCAGGGATATTTTTTTTTGCTTCCAGTATGAAACCTTCATTCATGCTAGTGAAGTCAGACTGTAACTGGTACCCCATGGGGACAGGCATCCCCAAAACCACCAGCAAGACTCAGTAGCCAATTAAAAACAACCTCTGGGATGAGAACTGGCATTTTTAAAATTTTTGATTATTCAGTTCTCCAGCCTAAATAATGTCCTTTTAGCACAGTATTAGCACCAAGTGTTATATAGTGCAAATAATATGTAAAAATGGCTAGTAACTTTTTAGTACATAAAAAAATAATATCTTTAACATTTCAGATATTTTTTATCTGGCTTGTTCTAATTAGCTTCCACGTAAAGATGAGATAAATAATTTTTAAAGATGAGATGAATAGTTTTTGGCACTTGAAATGCATATTTTCATTTGATCTTTTTGGCACTGAGATAACTAAGTAAGAATATATTGCTGAATTCCAATATCTACAATGGCTATGGTATATTCTATAACAATTTGCCTCTGTCTACTGCAGTGAGACATTAAGTAAATATCTCTGGTTTTGTTTTTTTTTTTTTTCCTGAAGCAGAAATTTTGTGTTCTGTAATTTGTTTTTTTTTCTCTTTTTGGTTTTGTTTTGGGTTTTTTTGTTTGTTTGTTTGTTTGTTTTTGTTTTCTTTATTGCCTCAAGCTCTTCTAAAATGCACAAAAAATGGTGAGTTGGAGAGGGCCCCTAGGCTGGGAGTTGGGTAGCCATGGCATGTGCATTCAGTGATGAATTGAGCTCCATACAGCTTGTTTAGCAGCCAGACTCATTGTTGTTTACTGCAGAAAAGACACCATAGCCTGGCAGGATGAGCTATCTTTTCAGGATGCGTTTTCTGTTAAAATGGGATGGAGCTCTCAGACAACATGCATGCACTCCCTTCTCCTGAGCTGCTAGAAATCAAAAGGGGATATTTTTATTTTAGCATAGTATTGATCGTACCATGTTGATTTGATACTGACAATGGTTTACATCAAATCCAACATGAGATGTTTGTACTTGCTTCCAGTAGGATTTTGAAATGAGTTCGCCCAAACTTATTTTTTTCACTCTATTCCATATCTGCATTTATGGTTTGGTAAAGGCTTTGGACACTCTGATTATCCAGGTGTTCAGATCTTTGCTTTATATTTCCAACCCCTCTATTTCTTAGTAATTTCAGAAAATCCTGGTTTTGAGAGCCTGGTTCTCCTTGCAGTCTCAGAAGAGCAGTAAAACAGATGTCTGTTAGTCTAATCTGATAATAAAATCCTGTGTTCTCTAATTGAGTGGCAGCTGTATCCTGAAGACTTTTTCTTAATTAGAAGCTGAAGCGTTTTTCTAGTAAGGATAGTTTGGCAACAGAGAATGGTGTACTGCTATTTTTAACCATTCATTTTCTTGGTAATTTTTTTAGTGTGTTTTCAGTTTTATCATCCGTTGAAATATTTTTCTAACACTTCTAACCAGACTTACTTCTTAATAAAGGTGGTCATTACACAGGTATGTTGTTGGAACTGGTCTCAGACACCAAGTTTGGGTGTATTTGCACATATCTATTCCTAAGCAGAACTTCTGTAGCTTCTAATGATCTCATAGATGTCAGATTGAACTTGTCAGTGCAATCTAGTAGCCAGAAATTTTGCTGACAATGAGTGACATGAACCCTAATCTCATTTGAAGTACATTTCCACCACAGATAAGGAGTCTCAGACTGTCATTAGAGCTGATAAAAGGCTGTGAGATATTTAGTATTGGTTGTGGCAAACATTAAATTATTTAACAAACACAGGGTTGTACAGCAGAAGAATGTAAAACATCCTTAAGGTCAGTGCAGATGAAATAGGCTAGAATTGCAAATTAAACCTTATGGGACATTAGACTTACCAGCTGGGAAAAAAATGTTTTCTTGAGCTGTGTTAGAAAGCTGCTTGTGGTGCTGCTACAAAAGCCAAAACCTTGGTTTCTACTCCAAAATTTGGTCCACAAAGGAAACAGTTATTCAGGGTATGGATGGTTTCAAGACTGTGATTTTGGATGCAGGCTCTGACAGAGAGAGCCTAACTTTCATACCCTCCTGCTTATTTAGACATTTCTTACCTCCAGAGCTGTGACTGTACAGATAATGGGATATGCTGCTCCATGATTCCTACACTCCATCCTGAAGGTTATACAGCAATGCTAGTGTATCCCTCTATAGTTCGGGCATTTTTCAGTTTTAGTCTTGCCACTAGGGCTGATAATAGTTCTGAAAAAATGTTGGTATTAATGTGCTCTGACAGAGCAAGATAAGCATTAAATGCCAACTTAAGGATTCTAGTTTTCAGTCTTGAAACTGAGAAGTAATGAGATGAAATGCTGAATCTATTACATTCTGAATATATTTTGTGTTTTAACTCCAGGCTAAAAAGGAGTTAGTATCACCAAGCTGTAGGATTAATTCACGTAGCAGATAGAAATTTGTGCTATTTTGCATAGTGAGATGGTGTAAAATGCTGTGTCACCATGTAATTTGGCTCTTGGGCCATGTCTCTGGCTACAGTCACATGGTCCATGTCTATCAGCACTCTGCCCTAGCAAAGCCTGGCTCCCACCTTCCTGTGCTCTGGTCCCATGTCTGATTAGTGCTGTGCTGGCCTCTGGCCACACTGGCAGGAGATTTCATTTCTCACACTGGCTGCCTCTGTGAGATCAATGGAAGAAAATGGATTCAGAATCCTGGTTACTTTGCAGGATCAATTGTAACAATTTACACCTTGTAAATGAGGAGCACAGTAGGTGTGTTTTGGCTTGGACTTAACAAAATCTAGGTGTTTTTTTTAAGTCCAAGCCATTTTTCTTTAATTTCTGCTGTCATGGCAGCTAAAGAGAGTAGCATTGATGAGTTTTTTCAGTTTTGAAAAAGTAGTCCTTGAACGTTTGAACATGTCTACTTGACCTGGTGACATGCAGAATGATGCCTTTAGACCTAAGTCCAAGTCCCTGCCTTAATATAACATATGGTTTCTTTGGGGCTTTCGAGTGGGTTGTTTAAACTGCATATCCAGGCAGAGCTGTATAACAGAGTCTACCTGTCCATATCATGTTCTTACTACAACATGTAGTTGTGCAAAAGCAGAGAATGGATTCAACTGCCTTTCCTACTCTAAATCATCTTTAAAATGTCATCATTTTTAGTATTCTGTGCGCATTCATTTTTTGGTATTTGAAGGAAAGGCAATTAGCATGGAACATGGTCAAAATACCAAATCCAGTTGTCTGTAATTCCTTTCAAGGTAATTCCCCCACATTTAAACTTTGGATTAGCCTTTTCATTTTGAATGCAATGTTAATAGTTGAAATTACCCTTGTCTGTAGCTTGATTAGTGGTTTGGCCAGATAACTGAACTTGGGCTTTTCAGTAAAGTGGAAATACTTTTTTTTTTCATTTTGTTCCTCATTAATAACCAGTATGTCATCTACCTAGAAGTGTGGCAAAGAAAATCAATGTGGAGATCAAATCTAACTAAAAATGTTTGTTATTGACTGTGGATTACATAGATTGAGATGAAATTTTCAGTTTTACTAGCTAAGGAGGCCTTGACTCCTTTAAGAGAATGGGATCCAGGTTCCATTTGATGGCAGTGTCACTGCTGTTGCACTCGATCACTGTTCTCTCCTGCATGGTCCAAGCTGGAGGCTGCACACCCAGACTTTCCATGTCTTGCTCTGAGTGCTGACATTTCTGTGTTCTACCAGGAGCATAAGCTTTCCTTAAAAATCCTGGAAGTTAGTCCTGGAATCCTGAACTTCCTATCAATGAAAACACCAGCTCTGCAGAAAACAAAAGTAGCTATCTAACTTTACACAGGAAGAAACTGTTTGCTTTATGGCAGAATATAAGGATGAAGAAGAAATGTATGGAGGCCGAGTTGCAATGGAAGCAATTCAAGGAATTAAGTTTTCCTGCCTGATGTTCCTTGTTTGGGTGGTGTTTGTGCCTGCCTTCCCTACTGCTGCAAACAGTGGCTCTGCAGTCCCAGCACATGATTTTGCACTGTAGCCACAAATCTACCTTGTTCTGTGACCTGGTGCCAGCCAGAACAGACACAGCTGATGAGTAAATGACAGTAGGTAACCGAATTAATGAGAAGACCAGAAAAAACTCATTAAAGACAGGGCCACTGTCCACTTACTGCCATCAGCTGACAAGTCAGCTTGTGCATTCACAGCAATTAGAAGCAAGTAATGTCTGTAGAGTAGCCCTCTAAGTTTTGGTTCCTGGATTGCTGTGAGTTTCTTCTCCGTAGAAGAAACTCCTTTCATATAATTTCTTTCTCTACTTCTGTATTTCTTTTTCCCTCATATGTTCACACACAGTTCCACAAGAAAAGATGGTAATGTGACAGGCAAGAAATCAGAAAGTTTGTGCTTTTGATTTCTGCTGTCTTATCCCCCTACTGTTATCAAAGATTCTGACAGGATTTTCTCAGTTTTCCATGCCAAAACTAATTTGTACAATTGATTCTGCTTCAGTAAAGCCCTCTATATGTTTCTTTTTTGATTCATTAATGTCATGTGCTAGTGAAGAGGTACCACAGTCTGTAACTTCTCTAAGTGAAAAAATAGATCTCCAGGAACACTTTTATTCTGGTCCTTATTTTCTGTTATTAATGTTTCAGAAGTTGTAGTGAGTTATTAATTAAGAATTCATTTCAAATTTATCCCTGGGGAAATACTTTTTTTGCTAAGTTAAATACCAACCTTGGTTCTGCAGTTCTCTTTGTCTCCACTACAGTCAATTAATAATTTTGGAAATGGTGATTCTCCTAATATTTTTTAATGTTCAATATTAATGTTTAGCTCTCAGAAGAGATTGGGAAACTTGAAGACAAAGTTGAACGTGCCAATAATGCTCTGAAAGCGGATTGGGACAGGTGGAAGCAGAACATGCAGTGGGATATGAGATCAACGTTCTTGAATGTGGCTGAGAATAATCTCCGCTATTATGAAGAGGTAAAACTCTTTCTCACAAAAATGTTCTTTTTTCATTCTTTCAGTGAAGAAGTCCATGGGTTCTCTGTAAAGAGGATTTTTTCCATTTTAGTTCAAACATTTGATAACTTTGGAATCAGTTTCTGTGGGAATAGCGGGGCATTTATCCCTAATTTGACAGATTTCAAGCAGAATATATTTTATTGTGCCCACGTCATTGATCCCGAGTTCATCATCGACAGAGGGCACTCTTGTTTTACTAACCACAACAACTTGGAACGTGATTTTTGGTTCAATGACAGCTGCTATATTTCAGTTTGGAAACATTTTGCTGTGAGAGTATGAAGAAGCCGTCTGGAAGGCTCAGACCTGTATGAGGAAAACCTTTAAATGTGATTCCATCATATTTTTATTTTCAGCTCAAATGCCACAGGTAATATTCTTGATAAAAATTTCCAAGAATATATGCTAGGAAGGACAATTTGAAAACAAAATACAGTAACTGTGAAGTTTCCTCATGGGAAACTCAATGTTGATTGAAATGCGCATTTTGGAAATACCCCAGATGTCTTGCAAGTTTTTAAAAATAATTTCTCCTTACTTTTGGGAAAAAAACAGAATGCAGTGAGCCATCTATTAATCATAAATTAGTCATTTTCACAGATATATTTTGGTATATGTAACTTCAGCCCTGTAGTCTGAGCCTTTTATGGATTGTACATTAGCCAGTGGTAGTGCTCTGATTTTACAAATCATTTTGTTAAAACATAATTGAAAAGACAGCTCTTGATCATCAAGTCTAATTAATTAACATGCAGTCTGTGAGATGCATGGACATTGACAATCTGTTGTTACATATTAAGATCAAAATATTTTCAGAAATCAGGCAGCAAGCTTTTGGCATCCTCTAACATTGTCTTCATTTATTGATGGTCTGTGACTCCTATAGCAGCAATATGTATGTTACAACAATGCTGAATATATTAGAATATTTTCTTTGTGAATGATTAGCTACAACATAAAAGTAATTGTTTGGTTCTTTTTCCTGTCTAGAAATGCTTTTTGCTGAATTAGAAGTTTAATCCAGAGCACCAAAGCACATATTGTACATGAAATTACTGTTCTTAAGCCACAACTGTAGAAAATTATTCAGCTGTCTCTGTAACTGCTGGAGGTTCTTCTTAAATAGCCTCTGAAATACCAGACAAGTTGGTGTATACTGAGGCACAATCTTTTGTTGGTGCTTTTCTTGAATATTGAAATCTTCATTAAATGGTTTTGCTGTTATATCTTTGTGGATCTACATTTTTTAAAAAGCACCTTATCTTACTAAGCAGTTGAAATAATAAGAAACATTGTGCTAAGTCTACGACTCCTTGTTTGCAAAGTGAGCACTTACTAATTTCTTTCTGTTTTATCAGAAAATCATTATCTAATTCAGATATTCAAAAGAACTTGATAAAGTTAATATTTCGATTGGGAGTTTTCACCTAAAATTCATTTATTTAAGACCTGTGGTTAATGGTGATGGTTAATTATTAAAGAAGTGATTACTGATTAATGTCAGGGGCCTGTGTATCTCAAACTACAAGTGTGTACTCCAGAAAGTAGCAGGAGAAGAAGCTCTGGCATATGCTCCTACTGTTTAGGAGTGAAACTTCAGGAAAGGAGTCTCAGAAACCTGAGAAGCAGAATATTATTTTTATGCTTTCAGTAGGAAAGATAATTCAACCTTAAATGTTTGTCTGACTCATTAAACTCATGCACAAACACAGTGTCTGTTACAGTGTTTCTCACTTGTTCAATTATTACTTGGTTCATTAGCATTCTTTCACATGTCTGAAGTTACTCATTCAGACTTTTGATGCACCATTTGATGCTTACTAAGTCTTTTCTTGCTGTAACATTCCTCATGTTATTTCCTGCCTTTTCTCTTCCCCAAAGCATGTTCTGTGCATTTTCCCAGGCACAATGGATGCTATGAATGTGATTCAGTCATCCAGTCCTTCTGTACAGCTCCTATGAGGAATCATCTCCTGCTTTCTAGCTTAGTGACTACCTGCTTCTCATCCTTTCCACAACTTCCCCCACCCCTCAGTTAAACTATTGGTGCCTCTTCATGACCAGTGTCCCATTCCCTTCTCTACAGCAGCATTTCACTGTGCTTCTCATTATTCCTCTTGCTGACTGCATTTTGTAAGTACACAACCAAATAAGGAGTCATTTCTGTTCACAGCCATTCTCTGCAGCCCTTAAATTTTGGGAACCACAAAGTACTGAGAGACAGGCATCTTGTATTTTCTGATGGCTGCTGCAGTAGAGAATTCAGCCCTTCAAAACTGTATAAAACCCGAGCCAGTGTGGTCAAAAACAACACAGCAGCATGTCAAAGTACACTAGAATTTCCACATTTCATTTTTGTCAAAATGGGCAAAGAATATGACCTTATGTTTGCCTGTAGTTGCCTAAGGATTCTGCTGCCAACTTGTCAAGCATCACTTAGCTAGCATAAAGGAGTATCTCTTCCTTAAGCTGAATTAATGTTCACATTAATTAAATGTTACTCTAAAGTGTTACCTGCGATTATGATTCTCCCGATTGAAAATTTTAAAAGAGTTATTCCTGTAGTCTTCCAGTTCACTGGCTATCTGCATTTATTAAACTTGAATAAGAAGTGTTCCTTTGTTTCTACAGCCGTTTTGTGTTTCTCGATGCTGTGGTAACAAAGACATGAATAAAAGCCCAGTGTTGCAGATTTACAGGGTGCTCCTGTGCAGGCCTGTGAAAATGAAAGCTTTCAAGTGATAGTGTGCAAGCTTTGTTATAATATATTTAAAATCATCTGGGAGCCAGTAATTACCATGACAGACCAATCATTTGGTATTCCTGTAGCTGGTCTCAGTGGTTCATACAGTTCTGTACTTCCTTTCCTCTGGAAAAAAAGTTGAATAGACCCTTAAGTCTCTCTGTATTCCACAAAGCCTTAAATGCAAAATAATATTGTACTAACAATGACAGTAAATGCATTGCTAAAATATGAAACAATATGAACAATATTAAATTGTATTAATTTTTAAAAAATTATAAATTTCCTCCTATTTCTGAAGTAAATAGCATTGATTCAGCACATGTTAACACTGTACCATTTATTTTATTCCTTTTCATCTAGCCTTAGGCATGACACCATTGTCTAACAGCTTAGTCCAGAAGAGGTATCTGCCAAACAGCTGGAATCACAAACTGTCCACAGGGTGGAGCTTTCATCTGAGAAACTGAGTGTCACCATGAATATTTTAATTAATTTAGAAATAGATATTCTAAAGATGCAGCATCACTAACTCAAAAGCAGGATAGAGTTGGTGGTGGTGCTGGCAGTGTTTCTTAGCTGGCAGGTTTGAAGTGTTGCTGCTGCAGACTAGCAGAACTAAACCAGGCACTGTTGAACTCTGGCTTCAAAGAACAGAAGCAATTAAACATATGCTAAATTTTTCATTTTTTCTCAGGGGTTTAGTATAGGAAGTACATAAGCAGCCAATGAATTTTGGCAACAACCTATTCTTTTCAGGAAAACCACCAGAATAAGGGGCTAGGTTTTACAGCCCTGCCCAAAGACTAGTTATACATTGTAAATCCAGCAAATATACGAGAGTTTGGGTTTCCACTGCTTGTTGGGTACTCCAGGAAATGCAGACAGATTGGTGTTTTTTCCTAAAATGGGATGATAGTTAGTTTTGGCATTGAAATAATGTGGTTTTTCTAGAGCATGATGAAGCTTTCTTTTAAAGCATAGCATTTGATTTTACTTATCACATGGGAAATTAATCCTGTTAAACCCTTGCATCTTAATCATATAATCATTTACCTTTGATATAGTCAGATTCTTGTTGGTACTGGCACACTTTACTATTTTTCAAAAATATAAATAATTTCCTGATTTTCTTAAGTGTTTCAAGCACAATTTAGTATATTTCTGTGACCTACATTGTTGTACAGGCATAAATTGATCTAAAAGATTCATTAGGGCAAAGCAATACTTGTTCCCCATTACAGCAACTTCCCTATAACTCCAAAGCCCTTATTCACCCCTCGGTCTTGTAAAAGCTGTAGATAAATAGATGAGATTTGTTATTTGCCCTAGAGGCCTCTGTAATGATGCATTTAAGCAGTCATTTGGTCATGTAGCAGAAAGTTGGCTGCTCTTGTGTGGTGATCACATCCTACTTTAGCCATGCCTGGGAGTTCAGCTACCAAACTTCACAAGATTTTCAAAAGCTCCCCTCTGTGAGCCTGTTTGTTCCTGTGCAGGTTGCTTCAAAGGCAGATCCATCTTTGAACCCTCATTCACTTCAGCCTTTAAATTTTTTTTAAATAATGTTGGGAAGATGTTTTCTGGAGTGGGAATTACTATTTCTGTGCAGCCTAGTTTTTGTTCCTCTGCACACAGAAATTATGAAAATACTTTCTGTCTCTCTGAGACACAAACAAGACTTCATATATGCTGTTTTTAAGGTATCAGCCATGGATAACTGGGAACTGGAACAGAAACACACATGGCATGTGACACACTGCTTCTGCTAGCATCCTTACTACATGTTCTATTTTTATATCTCCTTTTTCATTATACATGTAATTGTACTACAGGAAGAACTTTTTGCTGCTTTTTCTAAGAATGATGTTGCAGAATAGATATGTGTCCTCCAGTAGTAATCAGAATATTTTAGGTAAAGTAGCCTTATTAAGTTCTTGTCTATTTAATTTTGTGTATTTAGGCTTTTTTTATGTTTTCCATCGGGCTTTTACGATAATTGGATTATGAATTTCAATCCTGTGCAAACACATTTAATTTCCTCAGTTTGGATTTTCCGGGTTTTGTTTTCCTCTCTGTCTCCTTTGTGAAAACCGGCTAATCCTCTATTTTGATCTCCAGTTTCAACCTCCCAGGAGAATGGAGTAAAGTCATTCAGTAATAATGTTGAAGTATACATCACTAACAAAATGTCGTTTATGCAGTTCATGCTTCACAATGTGAAAAGCTTGAGCCTAAGGCACAGGGACCTAGTTTTGTTTTGGTGTGGTTAATTATAAAATTTGTCAGCTGTAGCAGCACTGTGATGTCTGACAGTAAAATGAGCCACCATTGCTGTTACATTTTGAAAAACATGTTTTGGTTATATCAACAGGGATAAATTAAAAGCTAAATAACTTGTGTGAAAAAAATGCTTGCATCTTTGTCTGGACAGACTTCAGTCATATCTGTCTGGTTAAGCAGTGTATTATGACTGCATTTTAACATCGGCTTGGCTCAGTGTTGCAAAGATAACATAAAGCCATTTTTACATTGCAGCCAGTGCTAATACATGTGTTCTAATTAACGTTACTGAAATTATGGAATAGCAAACATGGACTTACATGGTAGTTCAATTAAACTGTGGTTCAGAAAAACCTCTGTCATTGCCAATGAAAGACTCTTCAAGAAAAAAGCGACATTTTTTTGTACCACACCTAGAAAAAGCTTAGAAAAACAGCTGCACCTTCAACTTTCTAGGATGGGGATCCAGGCTGGGCTCCAACAAACAGAAACTGATGAGTTTGAGTGCCACAGTGAAGACACATTGCTAGCAGCTGTCTCACTGACATTTCAAAACCAAGAGGCCTAAGTTCCAGCTCAAGCCTCTCAGATAGACTCAGCTGCCACAGTGTGACATGAAGTAGGGGAGAATCTAATGATCAAACTTAAAGGCTTTATACAAAAGGTCAAAAATACCTTTTAAATGAGAAATCAGATTTCAGTTTTGCAGATCGCTCTTCAGGCTGGCAGTATCTTCACTGTTTCTTCCTGGTGTACCATTGCAAAATAACATTTCTCCAAAAAGTCAATGAAGAAAGCAGATTTCCACATGAATCTTGCTCTGTTAGTTCCCTCTGTCCACAGTAATTCAAATCTTAGATATACTCTGAACAGTAGTATAATGTTGTTGTGTGCAATAGCAGCAGAAGTTACTTGGGGCTTTTGTCAGCAAGATCCAAAGAGAAAGACTGGGGCAGTGAATTCATGGTATCCATAGTCTAGGGGACAAAATATGACTAACAGGAATTATCTCTATCATGCCTGGTAATAGCCAAAAATCTGGGCAAAAATAAGCCCATACTTTTTCTTTGTTAGTTCAGATGGCTGTTTTAACTGCTCATTTTCTTGCAGACCCACATGTTGTACTTGATTATGTCTTCATAGACAAAGCTACTGCTGATTTGTTTTTTTCTTGTTACTTTTCTCATCCTTTATTTTATGGGTATCTCTGGTTCTGAATCCTTGAATAATCATAGATTCCCCCAGATCCAGTCATCCTGTGTGTCTTCTTTGTTTTGAGCTTATATTTAACATTATCAGCTCCTCCCACTCATCTGCTTACACACAGACAGTTATACCAGGACCTAGCTCTTCAGTGTAGTGTGATTAAATCTGCATGTTTAATGGCAGAGTTTGGAAGTCATTCACAAGAAATGTCCAACAGTTATGTGCTGCAAGTTTAAGCAGGGTCATTTTCATGTCTCCTAAG